TTGGATTAAATCCAATTTAAGACGGTTCGATTGGACCGCCGGTTTTTGGGTTTTTGGCGGTTCAACCCGGTTCAATAACCAGATTAATTCAACTTGAGTTTTAGAGTAGATCTAATCCGAATCGGTATCCGGTTCGCGGTTGAACCCGGTTCGACTCCCAATTCGATCCGGTTTTCAAAACATTGTATATAATTTATATGAATTGGTTAGAATGATGTGTCATATATAATATGTAATTATTAATTCTCTATGATCAATTAGAAATTTAGAATAATGCAAATATCAATCATGTTTGGATGTACCAACCAGTCTTTAAAAATAATAATGTTAACATTTGTTTTTTGATTTATGCAAGCTGTAAAATAATTTATATCATTAAATATCTTGAATATAGGAATAGACAAGATTTAGCTCATAAAATACTTTAATATTTTAACATATCTAGCATATATTATAATCTTTTTAGATGAGCAACTGTATATGTGATATTATAAATGCTTTTTTCTTGACATCCATGTACTATATCATATTATAAAAGTTTAAAAAATTGAAAGTATGTTTTTCTACCAAATTTATAAAATAACTCTACGCAAATTTTAAAACTAATTTTTTTGCTTACCACAATTTTTTTAAGAGCATCTCCAATGGACAAAGTTTCTTAAACAAATTTTTAATGATAAAAAAATTAATATTTTAAGAGCAACTAAAGAATTAAATTAAATATACTATATAAAAGTATAATGAGTCTCTCCATGTTGCGCCACGTCGGCAGGAAGGAAATGACACGTGTCCGACAATTTTTAATTTTTTGATCTCCCTCACGGTTAAGTTCTCATCGTTACACGCTGTCTAAGCTTCCTCGATTAAATGAGTCCTTGAAGACCAAGCATGCACCTCCTCTAAGCTTTCAATAAACCTCTCTGAATCCACATATGGTTCTCCGACTCCTTCTAATTCGATATCGAACCACAGTGGTTTCCTTTATATCCATCTCCATATCAAACCTCCCTCAATCACCAAATCCATGCCCAAGCCCTCGCTCTCCAACACGCTCGATAGAGAGCCGCGGGAAGAAACGCTGCTCCGACGGCCAAGTTACTACACACTCGAAATTGATTTCGTTTCTGTAATCACATAGTATGAAACCATCACTGGTTTGGATTTCGTTTTTGGATTTGGCCAGTTTCTGATATGCAGTGACGAAACAGAAACGTACGATGAGAACAACAACAACTTCGTGAGTATGAACCTTGGTGAATTCATCGATTCAACGAATGATTCGAACGGTGGGGAAGAGATCGATGATATTGCACTATGTGCTGTTCAAGAACACAATAGGCGAGAGGTTTAGTTTCTTCATCCAACTTAATTTCATATTTTCTTGGAATTAGGGTTAGGATCGTTCTATGTTACAATGGCTCTTCTGTTAGATGGTGTTTATTCTTTGACTCGATTTAACTCTGGCTCAAACGTTATTTCAAAATTTTGGGTTTCAATTCATTCTACAATGAGAATCAAAATATGGTTTGATGTGTAGAATATTGTTCTTAAGCTTGCTCGATTGCTAAACGCAACAGAGGAGGTGGTTGCTGGTAAGATCTACCGTCTTATGTTTGAAGTTATCGAAAGCCGATCAGAGAAGATTTACTCTTTGCTTTCAAGTGTTGTTGGGAATATTTGAGCTCATATTTCCTTTTCATCTATGATGTACAGATGTAGGAAAGTGGATTGGATTAACACGCTTCTTGATCTTCTCGATGGAG